GGAGAAAGAAGTCCTAACCAGTAAATAATGACACTGAAACAGCAGGCAATAGGGGAGACAGACATTAGTGAACATTTGTATAATTTGGGCAAAATATTTTGCCCCCTTTAAAATCTGCAAGATTACTATCAACACAGTGAGTGATACAGACTGTAAGAGGGCATTTGGCTAACACGGGTGCCAATAATAGGTTTTTTAAATGTGAATACCAGTTTGAGAATCAACTTTCGTGGCTTCTGTAGGCAAGCAACCTTCAGTTAAGGCCCATTCTGCATGGACAGCTTTCTCCAGAGAATCCGAGCAGTCAAGTCTTAAAGCTTGACTTCTCAGATTCTTAAAACTTGACTTCTGATTTGTGTGCCTTCCCTCTGCACTATTTCCCCCCCTCCGGTGGTTTATTTATTGTGTATTCTGTGTATGCATTCTGCATCTACAAGCAAAACCCACATTTTTTTTTAATTCAGGTGTGCACATCACTTGTGACCAATGCTCCCTCTAAGCCATGGAGTTTTGTGAGCAAAAATTCTACTTTGTGAGCTACTGGCATTACAGTTATGAGCAAGCAATTTGGCTGCTGCATAAATTAGTTTGCTCTGGAGCCATCCTTCCTGGGCTAAGACAAAAATGTGTGAGCTGGAGGCTAAACAACCTAGCTCAGTTTAGGGGGAACACTGCTTGTGACGTATGGGGGGTGGTGTCCAAAGGTTTTAAAAAATTTACGCGATTGTCCTATTGCAGCTGCACAGTGGTGTCCAGCAAGCACTTTCCATTTAAATCCTCCTGGTTCAAGTTTTTGGCATGTCTTTTAGTGTTAGTTCCTTGAATGAAAGGGAACCAAAAGGAGTGCAGGCAAAAGAGGAAAACCCTGTCTTGAAACTGACCAAACTGTTTCTGAAACTTGCAAGCAGCTGCCAAACCCCGTTTTCCATATTGCCAAGGACTAGGGGATTCTCTGCTTCCAAACCTGTCAGTCTTGCATGTGGGGGGCTGGATTTCCCCCTCCCTTCCCTTTATTTTTGCAGAATCCGGGAGGGGGCTGCTGGCGTCCACTTTCCCCGGCACATCTTTGCTACTCTGCAGAGCAGGGCTTGTCCTGCAGCTCCCCAAAGCGACGTCTCAGCTTAAGGGCTGAGAATGGCTCCCCCCCACCCAATGTATGGTTTAGCTCAGTTGGTTAGAGTGTGTTGTTATTCATACAAAAATCATGGGCTTGATACAGATAGTTTCTTTTTGCAAAAAAAATAAATAAAAAGAAGAGGCATGTATGCACAAAATCTCTGAACGTTCTTTAGTAATGTACATTTAATGGTAATTTCAGTCTTTTTGCAAAAAAACCCCAAAGACGTTAATATTGGACAGCTTTAGTTGGCCCTTAAAGTGTGTGTCACGTAGGGTAGCCAATTCCTGGAGAACTGGGAGAGGGCATTCAGGCCAGAGGTGTGGTGCCACAGAGCCCAAGTAGCCATTTTCTTCAGGGAAACCGATCTGTGGCCTGGAGATCAGCTGTCATTCCTGGAGCTCTCCAGGCTCCGCTGGGAGGCTGGCAGCCTTAAGGACAGATGGGGAATCACCAGCTCAATGAAGCAAAAGGCCTGTGCCCTCTGGACGGTGCCCCAAACACCCTCTCCCTTCCACAAGGCTCCATGCCACAGCTGGGGGGGGCATGCAACCCCCTGGCCACTGACCCCCCCTGCCTGCTCCACTTCCTGCTTGCCCTGAGCCCTCAAGGCAGCTGCAAGTAAGAGAGGGCACAGACAGCCCAGTTCCTCCTGTAAACCCATACAGGGAGAGAATGGGGGCTAGTGGGGGGGTTAAGGGCCGTGGTGGAAGTGCAGAGGCACAGCCAGGGGAGGGAACACTTTTCGAGTGTTTCCTGTTGAGGGGGTCCACCGGGGTAGGGGTCTGCTGGCAGCCTTTGCAGCCTTGCCCTCCTACCCCAGAGAAGAACCTTGGCCCACCCAGGCTGAGTGCTCTCCTCCCCACTACCAGCTGAAATGAGCAGGACTCTGACTGGCAGGGGGAGCTTTCCAGAGCTGCAGATGGCTACCAAGTCACCAGAGTCCTGCTGTGGGGGTAGGGGGAGAGGCTCCAGCATTCATCGGGATCCTGGGCGTGCAACCAAGGAAAGGAGCAAGCAAACAGATTAGCAAAAAAACTCATATCTATCACTAGACTAAACCCACTTGTTAAAACCCCCCAAAATTTAAGAATTTAAAAGATGGAAAATGTAGCTTGAACATTGATGAAGGGGGGGAGAACCAGTAACCAGTAGTGTTTGCTAAGGTGGTTACTCGAGAGCACATATAGATTGAAGCAGAGGTCATTTCAGGGGGGGATCGCCCAGGTCTGCCTTGCTTGGATGCAGCCGCGTTGCTGTCCTACGTCTGGCAAGACGACCGCCTCTGCGCCACCTCATGGGGCTCGGCCACCTCATGGGGCTTGGCAGTGGAACTGCAAGGCCGGCGGCGGCCGGGACCGTTGGGGGCGGGGTGTGTGGCCTTACGACACACTTCCGGTGATGTCAGGGGGGGTGGCCTTATGACACACTTCCAGTTATGTCAGGGGGTGTGGTATATGCTAATGAGTTATGCTAATGAGTTCCCCTAGCTCTTTTTCTATGAAATGACCCCTGGATTGAAGAATTTCCTATTTCAAAGAACACACCTAGCGCAAAACTGAACAATAAGAAGTGGGAAGAATGACCTCAATGTGAACAGAGGGAGTGGCCTCTGAGGGACCAAAAATGGTGGTGGTGGGGATCCGAGGGAACATGCCTGCTTTTGAGTTAGAGTCAGTGTGGATGCAAGGGGAGGGGAAACCCTGCCACAAAATGGCTCTCACAAGGCCTGGGCCAACAGTGAGAGGAAAGCGAACTGAGCGCTGAAGGGAGGAAAAACCAGAGGGATGTGCACGGCAAAACCGATGGGAATGCAGAATGACAAAGAAAACCCGACTGACATGCTCGGTGAAAGCAAGGCAAAACACCCGTGCAGAATAGACCTAAGTTAAAGGGACAGCTGTGCTTAGGGGGCAATATTTTCCGAGCAATTAAGTGAGAGGGTGCCACAAACTGTTGAAGTCCCACTGGGTGTGTTGGAAATTTGGCGACCTTTTAAACCAAGAAGAGGAGATTGGCAGCTGCACCGTCCCTAAAACACATGAAGCTGCCTTATACAGAGTGGACCATCCGTCTATTTAGGTCAGTATCGTCCACATGGGCACAGTATTGTCCGCAGGGCCTGTAAGATGGAGCTCTTCCACTGGGCTTTTGGTTGAGGCGGCGGACGTCCCCTCCCTCTGGCCGGCCTCCTGTCAGTGGCCTGGATTCTTAATTCCGTCTTAATCGCTAAGACATCTGATCAGATTTTACATGGTGTTTTAGGATTTTGTGCTATTTTATACTGTTGTTTTAAGTGGTTTTAATTGTATTATATTTATATTGTTGGAACCCACCCTGGGCATGCTCACAGTGCGGGGAGGGCGGGATACAAGTCCAAAATCAATCAATCAATCAATCAATAAAATCCTTCAACTGGCAGCCACTCTCCAGGATCTTCTTAGGAAGCAGCTTTTCGTATCACTTCCTACCTGATCTTTTAAACGGACAATGCCAGGGATTGAACCTGGAACCTTCTGAATGGAAGGCAGGTGATGTAATGCTGAGCCACAGTCCTCCCTCTCCTGTCTGTTTTAACTATGGTTTCATGTTACATGTGCCTTCAACTAACTATAGTTAATACTGAGCAATGTTCCCTCTAAGCTGTGGAGTCTTGTGAGCAAAAATTCTACTCTGTGAGCCACTGGCATTAAAGTTGTGAGCAAACGATTTGGCTGCTGCATAAGTTAGTCTGCTCTGGAGCCATCCTGCCTGAGCTAAGACAAAAAAATTGTGAGCCGGAGGCTTAAAAAAGTGAGCTAGCTCACAGTAACTCAGCTGAGAGGGAACACTGCTGATGAGAGACCCTTTTAACCATAATTTGCAGTTCCACTTCAAACCTTGGTTTTATAAATCCTGGTTAAGGTTAGGATCCTTGGCTGATGTTAACTGTGCTCCATGTCAAGTGATTAACTCTGGCAAAGAAAGAGAGTAGTTTGTGCTGGAAAGAATGGGTGTGTGTGTGTGAGGAGAATGGGAAAGCTAAAATACCAGTCTCTTAATCATGGTTAAGAGAGATGCAGCATTGTTTCTGCTGCAAACCGTTAAGATCGGTGGTAAAGAAATAGGTCAGCTTTTACTTAGTTATTCCCATTAAATATGCTTCATCTCCTCTATCTGTACAGAGTGAGTATTGAATGTGCACAATGGTTCCTAAGATCCTTTTTTTAAAAAAGAAAGAAAGAAAATTCTCTCTGAGATCAGTTGAGTAATACTGGTTTTCTAACCAATCTGTTTTAAAGTGTGTAGAACAATGTGATCATTTTAAACCTATATTTATTCGGGGGGGGGGAGGGGTGAAGAAGTTCACAGCTGGTGAAAACTAATAGTTCACCAGTATGTATTCTAGACTCAAATTGGGGATTTCAGTTGCAATATATAATTATAAACTATCTATTTGTGTTTCATTAGGAAGCTTCGGTAGATGAAATCCTGTCTACTATTGTACCGTTTAAAAACAACAACAAAAGCCCATTAGTTGACTTTTGCATTGTCTGCTCGTCCTAGCTAAGTAAGAATGCAGGGTTGCCAAGTCTGAGTTGGGAAATACCTGGAGATTTTGTGGGTGGAGCCTGGAGAGGGAGGGGTAGGGGGAGGCGAGGGACTTCAGCGGGGCATAATGCCACAGAGTCATTTCCCTGTACTCTCCTCCTCCACAGCAGCCATTTTCTCCTGGTGAACTGATCTCGGTCATCTAGAGATCGATAGTAATTTCTAGAGATCTCCAGATACCACCTGGAGTTTGGCAATCCTAGTCAGAATGTGATCTGTGGACTTGCAATGGAAAGCCTTTGAAGAACCACTGCATTTTTTTCATGTGTCCACATTTGTTTTAAATCTACAGTAAGAACCAGCTTGTGACCATAGTGCCGAGTGATGCTCCGTTCAATTCTAGAAGAGCCTACACAAGTGAAGATGAAGCTTGGAAATCTTACCTGGAGAACCCCTTGACAGCAGCCACTAAGGCTATGATGAGCATAAATGGCGACGAGGACAGTGCTGCTGCTCTTGGATTACTCTATGATTACTATAAGGTAGGGACTTCCAATAATGTACTACTCCTTCCCTGACATTGCTGAGATGATTCTTGCAGCCAACTGGAGTAATTTTAGATTGCCATCCCCCTAAACAAGGAGAAAACCTCATATTCTTCAACTATATCCATGTGGCTGGGTCACTGTCCTAGTTAGAACAATAGAAAACACAGGTAAACTTTGTTCTGTGAAGAAGACTAAACTGTGGGGGAATCAATGTATGGAGCAGGGAACCTGGAATCAGCCCCCTGCGCTGGCCCCACCCCGATCTTCAAGTGTTGACAAACTGTTCTGCTTAGAGCCCAAATCTACACAGTCTGTACCCTGCAATGCTGGTTACTTGTCATACATACAACAAGCTTGCGTTATAAGGTACATACTGTGTGTGCACCAAGCTTCTATGCAAGAACTCTTGGCCTTGGATCTAGCCTGTGGCTTTCAATTGTGTTCCTTTTATTGTATCTAGGTTTTTCTTGTTGTTGTTGCTTTAGGGAGAAAGGCTACCAATAAATATATTGAACTATAACTGAAATTGAACTTGTTCATGCATAGCTTCTATGTAGAAGAGCCAGTCGATTCATGGAGGTCTGGGACGGGACCTGAAGACAAAAAGTGGCTCCTCGTGTGCATTGATTGTCCCCACATCTGCACCATACGATGAGCATTCTTGCCCACATCCTTTACATGGCATAGTTAACATCTGGGGGCTTTTCCACATTCTCATTTTCCTCACTTGTGTGTTCCTGTTATTGGGGGAGGGGTTCCTCTAGTGGTCAGTTTGATATTATATTGCTTTGTGACCAGCGTATCTCCTGATGAGGGTTTTTATGCCAGACATAAAGCGCAGTAATATCAAACCAACCCTAGAGAGAGCAAAACGAGAATGTGGAAGAGCCCTGGTTCTGTGTCCTTCATATTCTATATTGCTCAGTAGCTAGGACAGTTTCCTTCTGCAGATGGAGAGAAGAGCACAGCAAGAGTGCAGGTTATTCCCCAGTGAGGACCAGTTCACATGTTGTGCTCTTGGGGAATGAATACAGTCATACTTTCTGCTACCTGATACAGTGGCTCAAAGAAGGGAGCAGGCTCAGGGAATTTAGGGAGGATAGGGGTTCCACCAAAGGACTTGCCTCCTTCCACTAGGGAGAGTGAAGTATCAGATTTGATCTTCAGTTACACTTTGTGAAAGGGGGGATGAAGCAGGGAGAAAATGAGGGGGGATGAAAATTGCCGATAAGGGCAGGCAGATGAGGGCATGTCTTTCCATTGCTTAGACCCCCCCATCCCACCTTGTCCGCTCATTGATCCATGCAGGTGATGTGCCAGAAAGAAGGAAGCAAAGGACTGACTTGGCCACTGGCTTGCTCTGTCTTCACTGCCCTGTCCTGGCCTCAGCAGTCATTGTTCAAGAAATCCCCATGCATGGTGACGCCATTTTTGTTCCCGTGTATTCCTCTTTTTGGCCATCATCTGCCTCACCCCTGTGTTGCACTCTCTGCTGGCAACACTTCTTTTCTATCTGGTAATGGTATTCCTGGTAGTCATGTATGACTGCGAGAGTTGGACTATAAGGAAGGCCGAGCGCCAAAGAATAGATTCTTTTGAACTATGGTGCTGGAGAAGACTCTTGAGAGTCCCTTGGACTGCAAGAAGATCAAATCAGTCAATCCTAAAAGAAATCAACCCTGACTGTTCCCTGGAAGGCCAGATAATGAAACTGAACCTCAAATACTTTGGCCACCAAATGAGAAGGGAGCACTCACTGGAGAAGACCCTGATGCTGGGAAAGACTGAAGGTCAAAGAAGATGGGGATGGCAAAGGATGAGATGGTTAGACAGTGTCATAGATGCAACGAACATGAAGTTGAGCAAACTTCAGAGGACGGCGGAAGACCGGAAGGCCTGGCATGATTTTGTCCATGGGGTCGCGAAGAGCTGGACTCGACTGTGCGACTGAACAACAACAACTTTCTCTTAGCCCATGACTACTTTGAATCGGGTGAATCTGGGTTTCCAATTTATGTACTGGTCCTTTCTGCCATCCAGTGGAATTTACAGTAATTGCTGAACTTGCCATTTAAAGTTATATACTGGAATTTTGATGCCAAGTGAAGATTCGAATGCCAAGTGCTGAAGAAGGCAACAAGAACTCAAGACAAGAACTTAAATTCTTTAATAATACTTATAAATAATTAAAATAATATGGTTCATTCTTTATGTGAAATTGTCTTGACAATACTAATACTAACTTTTATTAAGAGACTAGCTAACTTAGCATTTCCTACTCTGTTTAACCTTATCCACTTATTTTTTTTAATTTTAACTATTTCTAAAGTTTCTGTAATCCCTCTTTTAACCTAAACTATAAATTAGGGTATCTAAACTTTAAATCTCCTGGAAATGATATTGTTGAATATTGTGATATAGATCTATTTGACATTGAGTTTTATATTATAGATTTAAGGTTCAAATTTATAAACCACTGTAAACAAAATAAAATAAATTCGATTATACTATCTACAGATGCCGAAAAGGCTTTTGACAGTAACTAATCCACAAACCTTTAGATTGCCACATAAATATAAGGAGTTTGCATTCTATTGAAAGTTTAAGTTATAAGTGATGAGATTGTATAATAGTTTACTGTTGAACATATTGTTAATGTTATTATTGTAAAAGTTTAATAAAAAGTTATTTACCAAAAAAAAAAAAGGTTCAAATTTAATCTTATATGATTTATTGTTGTGACAATAATAAAATGCAAAGTTTGATGTAATAAGTTAATGAAAAGTCTCTAGAAGTTATAGATATAAAATGACGTCTACACAAACAAAAGATAAGAAAGAAAAAAAGACTGAGGAAGAACCTGATCCGGAAATACCTGAATGGTTGGAGAAGCTTCAAGACAACATGGCCATATAGCTGAACTCAATTATAGACACACTCTTCTCTCAGATGCAGCAATCAGAGAGTTGAATGCATCATAAAGTGACTCAGAAAAAGGAATTCAGCAGCAGATTAAACAATTAAAGCAAGGTCAAGAAAATACTTTTGATCATATTAAAAAGGAACGTTCAACTCTGAGACAAGATATAACTACAGAATTGGCACAGACTCAAAAAAAGATTCAAGAAAATACTGAAAAGATTGTTCATACCCAGAAACAATCTTTAGTTTGAAGACTAATAGTAGTGTCTTTATTTAGGAACTACATTCTATATAGGAAAGCTTAGAGATAGGTATAGTATACGAGTCTAGCTTACTAGGATGGATGCAGATGGTGAGAAGGCCATCTGCATCATGGTGCCAAGATGCATACAGTGTGTCCTCCCTCTTGGTGTGAGCAAGGAGAAGTGTGTTGTGGGAGAGGAGGAACTGAAGGAAGAAGTTCCCTGAGAATAGCATCCTACATATCAAAGGGGACAGGGACAGAAAAGTAAACACAGGAAGAAAACCTTGAGTCTGCCTCTTAAGCTATCTGACTCTCTTGCCATGTAGTCTGGAGGTTGAGGCAGGGGACAGCATCCAGCTCTTCACTTCCAATACATATCACCTTATAACAGGGATAGCCACCTTCTGTATTCTTAAGAGGCCTCTCTCTTCTCTGGCCAAGCTGTACAAGCACTTGTCTAAGGTTCAGAACTTGAGCAGTATGCCATGCAAACTGGTGTCCTCTCATGTGGTCAGGTTCCTCCTCACACACTGTCAACAGCTTAACAAAAGTAGCTACTTATTCATTTTTGCTTTGATGGCAGGTCTACGCTTATAAAGTTGGTGCTCTCTACTGGGGCTCCAGTGTTACGGAGCTCATGCTCTGTATGGCATTACTGAAGAGAGAAGCAAAGCACAACAGAAAAGGACAGCGCCAAAAGCAAGAAAACAAAAGAGCAAATGGTGTAGTGAGAAGAAAAATGATTTCATTCAGCTATACTACACCATTTCTCTTTTTGTTATAAAGAGAGAAGCAACATGAAGATACAGATTTATCCTATCTCTTGTATATCTTGAATACTTCTCCTTACGAACAAAACTCTGAGCAAACTTTTTAAGATACCTTGATTTAAAATTTTGCAGGCAACCGAAGGCCATATAAAGCTTGTTCTGAAAGTTGGTTCTGGACCTTTGGCCTCCATTTCCTTTTATAATCTAGCTCCACTATCCCAAATTGCAGTGAAATATTGATATATTTTTTTAAAAAATCCGAGACTGCTATCCTGAAGTCATGCAATGTCTATGGTGTTGTTTCAGGTTCCAAGAGATAAGAGGCTGTTGTCTGTTAACAAAGTGAGTGACAGTCAAGAAGACCAAGATAAAAGGTACAGTATTTTAAAACAGCACGGAGAAAATTTTACTGGATGTATATATGAAAGGAGGGGAATGGCTTGGGATTTTCTTTCCTGCCTTCAGAAAACAAAACAAAACACCATGAAAGGAGATTGCCAAAGAAAGCAGCTGTGATATGCTGCTAAAAAGAAGGGGGGAGGGAAGAGAGAGAAGTAAAATTTGCAAAGCTTTAAGAAGCAGTCTCAAAACACTGACATTAAAGTAATTGGCAGAAAGTGTAGAACAGTGCAGCCATTTGTAGATGAGGCTCCCGGGAGGATTCTGGTAGCGTGTAACAAAAGCAGCTATTTATTCGTGTTCACTTTGATGACAAGTCTGCGAGCATTTTTCCTGCCTGGTGCCCCATATGTAGGTACATAGCAAATCTTAAGTTTGCAATCCTTAATGCGCTTGCAGGTCTCATTGAAACCAATGGGATATTTGAATATAAATGTTTAGGGTTGGGATATCATTCTCATGAGTCTGTAATCTGGGTGCAAATGGTTTCTGCAGATGATTGCTAGGGGATTTTTTCCCTCCCCAAAACACAAAAACAGTTTCAATTCATGATGCTTTGTTTGCTCATTTCAGAAGCTGTCTTGTCACCAATGAAGCTCAGAGAAACTTGAACAGCAGCGGTGAAAACAGAGTGCAGGTGTTGAAAACCGTCCCTGTGAATCTGTCTTTGAATCAGGAGCAGCTGGAGACATCCAAAAGGGAGCAATTCAGCACCAGCGTGTCTGGAAGCCCAACCTCGATATCTGTGACGGGAGTCATGGTGGTGAAAGCAGAAGACTATACCCCTCTTTACATGGCACCCTCAGTGCATTACGCAAGGGGCGAAAATGAAGAGCATCGGGGGGTTATATTTGAACATGCGCATTATGAAGTGCCCAGCATCACACCCCATACAACTTACATGAAAGACGACCAACGCAGTACTCCTGGTAGTACTTACAGTGATACTTTCAAAGATGGTGGTGCAGAGGTATGTCTATTAACTGGAACGCTATGGATATAGAAGTAGTGACGGCCTTATTTGTCACGTTTTATTCATTAGTTCCTCACTTTCTGTATCCCCACAGTTCTATCTCCAAGGAGTATAGGATGGTATGCATGGATGGCTAATGCTGTTTTCACCTCACAATAATCCCATGAAGTAGACTATGAAAAAGGAGGTGCTGAAGCTTGTTTTCCTGACCTGAAAGAACCTAGGGGGCGCTATTTACCCATTGGGCAAACCTGTGTGTACACCAGATTTCCTCAGACCTGTTGTGAGGCAAATAGTGGCTTCCAAGGCCATCTCAGATCAGGAAAACTGTGAGGGAGAATGCTTACGGCACCCTCTCCCCACATGCCACCATCCCAATCCAAATTGGGCCCCAGTGTGCTTTGGAACTGAGCATGGAACTGTCAGCACAGAACTGACTGGTAGTGCAATCCTCTGCAAAGTTACTCCAGTCCAGTGTTCCCTCTAAGCTGAGTTAGTGTGAGCTAGCTCAGTTTTTTAGCCTCCAGCTTACACAGTTTTGTCTTCACTCAGGAAGGATGGCTCCAGAGCAAACTCATTTATGCAACAGCCAAATTGCTTGCTCACAACTTTAATGCCAGTGGCTCATAAAGTAGAATTTTTGCTCACAAGAGGGAGCATTGTACAGTCTAAGTTTACTGAACCCAATTACCTTAGACTGGAGTAAGTCTGCAGAGGATTTCACTGTAAAAGACCTTGTGGTAGACCCAGAGAAAACCTGAGTTCTGTGTGAAGTGTAGTTAGGCCCTCACTTGCATCTCTGTCAGTCAGCCTTTAAGGTAAAAAGCTTACAAGAAATGTTGAGGTTAGTTAGCATTCAGGATACTGTTATTTACTTCTTTTCCCACTTTCTCCTTCTTTTAAAATGAATTTTCAAGGGTCATGTCATGAATAATTTGAATTCACTTGCTGAATGATACTTCTTGATATGTATTTTCTGTTACATTTTCCAGAAATTTCGCAGTGGTTCTGTGGGGCCTGAGGAATACATTTATGAACAAACAGCCAGGTAGGTAGGGATACTGGGTGGAAAATGGAATCGTCACACTTCTGACAGGCTTTAGGCTAGAATGTATGGGTAGGCGGTGGAAAGTGCCATCGTCACAGTCGAACTATGGTGAGGCAAGAGGCTAACAGAGGTGGTTTGCCACTGCCTGCTGCCTGTGCATAGTGACCTTGGACTTCCTTGGTGGTCTCCCATCCAAATAGAAACCTGGGCCAACTCTGCTTAGCTTCTTAGAGTTATGAGATCAGGCTAACCTGGACCATCCAGGTCAGGGCAAACTGAATGGATTACAGACACATATTTCGTGACCATTTTGTTAGTACCGTGCCTAATGGCAGCCCTGCTACTGAATCATCCTTTGACATTTCTTGTCCTCATCTTCCACTCATTTATTTCCCAATGAGTCACTAAGAGCTTAGAGTGTCAAAACTGCTAAAGTACATCCCCAGTTTACAAAAAGCTGAAATACAGTACAGGTGCAGCTCAAGGCAAAGTAATTGCAAACGAAAGCCTGAAAACGGCATTTTTACTGTTCTTTCTTGGGACTCCAGACGTGAAATCTATATTGTCAGAGTGCCTAGGACTCTTTCATTATTTCTGATATATACTCTCATGGGCAGGGTGACCTTGACTCTGGCCAGGAGTTAGGCTTGCCATGTACCCTCTGGGGGTGGGAGATCTCTCACTTCCAGCTCCCTTTGCTTGCCTGCTGGAACTCGGGCGACCAGCAAAAGGGTGGGGGGATTGCCATCAAATGATTGCCATCAAGGGAAAAACTGGAAGTGATGTCATGTCACTCTAGGAATCACCGGAAACTCTATAGAGTTTCCAGTGATTACTAGAGAGATATGATGTCATTGCCAGATTTCCCCCAGAAGTGACATAACGTCATTGCCCAATGGCACCTTCAACGGCCCTGCCCTCTGGACTCCTGCTGATTGCCTGTTGGCAACTCTATAAGTCCCCCCCCCCCCCCCCCCCAGCAGGGTGGCAAGCAGCTCCTTTAAAAAGTCATTGCCCAAGTCGTAACTGATTGGTTGGGGGCTCAGAGGGTAGGGGGCTGGCCACACTAATCTACATATTGGCCTCCCTTCTCCCAAGAGGCTTCAGGTCATCCTAGTGAGAGGAGGGCAGCTGCCACAAGGCATGTGCCATTTGTAGTGCTGCCTTTAAGAGGGACAGGGACAAAGTTGGATGAGAATGTGCCTATTTCTAGCTCTAGGCTATACAGGAGGATATTCAGAGGGGAAGATGAGGACGCGGACCCCCTTTACCTCTCCAACTGAGACCCTGGGATGGATGCACCTAAAGACCGAGTTGGCCAGGAGGGTGGGCCACCCCGTCAAGAGGAGGGGCGTGGAGCTCTTGGGAGGATCTGCAATAGAGCACATGCTTTCTGTGCAGAAGGACCCGGGTTTAATCCATGGTATCTCCAGAGAAAGGATCTTTGGTAGCAGGCATTGAGAAAGGCTTGTAGTGCTACTGCCCATCAAAATAGACAATATTGAGCTGGATGGATACCTTTCATGCATTACCATTGGGATGCAAAGCTGTAACCCAGAAGAATAGTTTTTCATTGGCTACCAAGCCACCAGAATTAGATCTGCATTGAGTTTATGTTGATTTCAAAGTGGCTATAATATTGCATATATATATATATATATATAATCAAAGTTTTAGGTTTTACTATTGTCCTAAATGCAAATGTGTTCTTCGCTTTAAGAATATGGATGTCATGGAGCCAAAGTCTGAATCCAGTACTCACTAAGAACAGTGGAGTTATTTCTATTGGTTTGGGGTGTAACTGTGGCCAGCGTAAAAGAATACAAATTAGAAGCTGCTCTGTATAATAACTATACCTACATTTCATTTCTGCTCCAGGGTACAATTTGATTGCTCGGAAAAAATTTCCCCTGTGGTCTGGGAAAGAGATTGAAAAGTTGGTTAGGTGAATTATGTTGGAGTTTTGCAATAGTCTCTATTCATAAACAGAACACTGCATTGCTATTGATTGACCAACACAAAGGAATTACTTCTTCAGCCTGATTTTACTTTGCAGGGAGAAAAAAAAAGTGAGAGACCTTTTAAGAATTATTTTGTGACGGATAACAGCAGAATTCCAGAAATACTTGCTCCAAACTTTCTGATTTTGTTTTGTTTTCTTTAAGCAACTTTATTTTTTTGAGAGGAAGGGTTAGCAGAATGAAGCACATCAAGATAAAAGCTTCAGCTTTATTGTTGTTTATTCAGTTGTATTATTATTGTCACAGCTGATTGGCCTCATTTGGAATACGGTGTGCAGTTCTTGTTGCTGTATCTCAAAAAAGGGCATTGCAGAGCTGGAAGAAGTACAAAAGAGGACAACCAGGAAGATTACAGGGTTGAAGCACCTTTCCTATGAGAAAAGGCTGGACAGTCTGGGACTTTTTAGTCTGGAAAAAAGATAGCTAAAGGAAAACATAACAGAGGTTCATAAAATTATGCATGATGTGGAGAAAGTGGATAGAAGGAGCTTTTTCTCCCTCTCCCATAATATTCAGGGGCACCCAATGAAATCATTAGGAAACAAGTGTGGAATTCACTAACAGTGGAGGTGGTGATGGCCACAAGCATAGATAGCTTTAAAAGGGGGTTGACAGATTCACGGAGGAGAGGTTCCTCAGGGGCTACTAGCCATGGTGACCAAAGGTAATCTCTACATTCAGAGGTAGTAAACCTCTGAATACCAGTGCTAGAAGACAACATCAGGGGAGGGCCTTGGCATCTGTGCCCTGTTTGCTCTCCATGGGAACTGATTGGCCACTCTAAACATGATGCTGAACTAGATAGACCATTGGCTCTTCTTACGTTCTTAACCAGCAGGGGATGCTGGGGTGTGGGGACAATGAAAAAGGTGTTGCACTGACACTACAACGTCTCTTCTGGTGCATACCTACAAATGATGTTGCTCTAGGATTCACATTTCGGTCTAGGTGAATTAGAGAGAATCACTCTGATGTGGAGACATCACTTCCTGGTTTACACCAGAAGTGGCATCATGGCATTGATGCAACACTGGTTTTGCCCCCAGATTTGCTTCTGGTGCTCTGCTGAATATCAGCAGGTCCCAGGGTGGGAGGCCGCTCTACGTGGCCTACCTGATACTGTTTCTCACCACATGATAGCATCTTTAGTGCTCCTTTTCTGTGGCAGCATCAAGATCACATCTCCTGGCAGGAGAACAGCAAACCACCGTAGAAGAGAGTAGCTAGATGCCTTCTCCAGCTGCTGACAGCTGGAGTTGCTTGTTACTCTCCTGCCAGTAGCAGCCTCTTACCAGTTGGTGATCTACTGACGCAAAAGCAGGCTTTCCAGGAAACACCAAAATATAAAAAGAAATCCTTGAAGACTGATAGCTAGAACATAATTGTGTGAATTCTCTGTTCATTGTACTCCTGCAGCCCAGTTCTAAGGCATGCTGTGCCAACACATCAGATCCTAGAATGGGGTATGCCAACAACTAAGTGGGTGATATAATATAAAAAAGTCATGCTGCTTTGGTGCTCCAGAGATGTCATAATGGCATAATGAATACATGCCCTTGTGCTTAAGACTGGAGATATAAAATAAACAATTAACAAATACTGGTTCCTTTAGAGCCTGTTCTTTATTAGACTATATTTTAAATAGAGAAAAAGTCCTTTTATCTATTTTGAAAGCATGATGAACTGTAAGCTTGTATGGTTCCAAGATGTTTATCAGCCAGTATGGGGTGCACAGTGGCTGATGTATTGGATTTGGCTATGGGTTCAAATCCTATCTCAACTCTGATACACACTAAGGGTGGCTGTAAAGCTTATAAGGTAAGAAATTATAAACGTGGGTACATTCAGGTGGTGGAAAGTGCTGTCGGTGCAGCTGGCTTATGCTAGCCTTGTGGGGTTTTCAAGGCAAGAGGCATTCGGAGGTGGTTTGCCATGGCCTGCCTTGGCATCACACCCCTGGTATTCCTTGGAGGTCTCCCATCCAAATACTAGCCAGGGCTGACCCTGCTTAGCATCTGAGATCTGACGAGATCCGACTAGCCTGGGCCGTCCAGGTCCATAAATTCAGACATCCCAACAAACCTCTGTTTGAGTGAGGGATCAAATTGAGCTTGTGCTGCCACTCTGCTTTCTTTCTTTGAGCCCGATCGAAAGTCTGCTTTTGGAAGCCTTCAGGAATTTTCCTGTTTACCATGGCATCCAAATGTGGATGCCTAGTCAAACTGGAGTTTGAGTCCAAGTTTCCAAAGCCAAGAAGGTTTATAACTGTGCATGAAGGAAAAGGGGAGGGGAGGATCCAGAGAGTGTATAAACATGGCAACATGCTATGTTCATGTTCCTCGTGACCACAGAGGGTTTGTCATGATGTCCGAATATAACCTATGTGTTCCTGTTAGTAAGACATTGTATATGCATAGTTCTGGGTTTGAGGCAAGGGTTGTGCATGCAGATGCACATGTGCAGGATGCTCTTATTGGTCCAAGGAACCGTACGGACAGGTTTGCCAGTGCTGGGATTGGGGGACGATGATGCCATTTTGCCAAATGTCTGGGCTTTGGAGAAAGGGTGTGGCGTGTTTGCTCTGCTGTCAGCACACCCACTCAGGAGTCTCATTGTGAGGAAGTCTTGAAAGTCTGTATATTCAAGCTCAGTTGTAAATGTAGTGGTGTTTACTTAGAGGTTTTATTTGTTTTGGTTGCACTGAGCTCCTGGGAGCTCAGAGTGATGCTTTTCAGTTGCATAACCTGCAGTGGGAGAAGCTAGACTGGGAGAATTACAGTACAGCCCTAAGAACATTTTCCTGGGAGTAAGCCCTGTTGAATAGACCTGGTTAGGATTGTGAGTAGACCTGCTTAGGACTGCTTTCTTACTAACTACCAACTGAGCTTCACAGCTTCCTCTGCAAGATCAGCGCCCTAGCCACTGCACTTGCCTGCCTTTCTCACTGTGTTCAGTTCACGTGGTTTTATGTAAGATAGAGAGCAAATATGTCAAGCCGCTCCTGTAACTGAATTTTTGACTGTGGAGGCTTTGTTTAGTGCAAATGTAATGGTTTGTCCTTTTCCCCTTTCTTTCTCAACAGCACATTTCGGTATACTTTGGAAGCTACCAAATCTTTGCGTCAAAAGCAAGGAGAGGGACCGATGACGTATTTAAACAAAGGGCAATTTTATGCCATCACACTGAGTGAGACTGGAGACAACAAGTGTTTCAGACACCCAATCAGCAAAGTTAGGGTATGGTTAGACTTCCCGAGAATATTGGTTTGCACATGGCTTATTGATTTTTGCTTGCTGCACTCTTCCTCGGAGCAAAGTTTGGGACAATGACTTGTGTTCTAATGCACGCTCAAGCTCTTTAATTAAACACACTTCCTAAGGAAGAGTTACGACAGTGGTTAACTGTTATGTAGATGAAGAATTTGTGCTAGATCTATAGTTGCAGTGTGACTTTTGTCTCTGGCAGAGATTACAATAGGTCTCTGGGGAGTTACTATAGTTTCATGCTATAGCAGCATGTTTTGTATATATAAAGCCCCAGGTCCAATGTTCAGTGACTATATCATGGCCAGCTTTGCATGGAACGTTCCCTTGATTTCTCTAATTTTCTTGAAGAGATCTCTAGTCCTTCCCATTCTATTGTTTTCCTCTATTACTTTGCATTGTTCATTCAGGAGGGCCTCCTTATCGCTCCTTGCTGTTCTCTGGAAATCTGCATTCAGTTGGGTAAATCTTTCCTTTTCGCCTTTCGCTTTCCTTCTTTCCTCTGCTATTTGTAAAGCCTCATCAGACAGCCACATTGCTTTCTTGCATTTCTTTTTCTTTGGGATGGTGGTGATTGCTGCCTCCTGTACAATGTCACGAACCTCCATCCATAGTTCTTCAGGCACTCTATCAAATCTAGTCCCTTGAATCTATTCTTCACCTCTACTGTATATTCATCAGGGATGCGATCTAGGTCAAACCTGAATGGCCTAGTCTTTTCCCCAATTTTCTTCAGTTTAAATCTGAAGTTTGCAATGAGTAGCTCATGATCTGAGCCACAGTCAGCTCCAGGTCTTGTTTTTACTGACTGGATAGAGCTTCTCCATCTTTGACAAGTGCTAAGTATTACTAATATAATTATTGTACCCCAGTCCTTCAGCACCTTTCTCCAAAATGCATTCCAAGAGGACAAAGCTGAGCACTTTGAATCCTTTTATATAGTCACTGAACATTGGACCTGGGGCTTTATATATACAAAACATGCTGCTATAGCATGAAGCTATAGTAACTCCCCAGAGTCCTATTGTAATCTCTGCCAGAGACAAAAGTCACACTGCAACTATAGATCTAACACAAATTCTTCATCTACATAACAGTTAACCACTGTCGTAACTCTTCCTTAAATAAATTGTATATAGTTTTACACCAAGCCTATAAGACTTACGTCTTCTTTGATACTCTCACAACCACTCACAACCTGCAGTGAGCTAGCACCGCGCAAACCTCGACATGATAAAGAACAAAAACGGTAGGGACCTAACAGAAGCAGAAGAGATTAGGAAAAGATGGCAAGAATACACAGAACTATACAAGAAAGACCTCGATGCCCTTGACAACCACGACGGTATAATTTGACAACCACGACGGTATAATCACTGACCTCGAGCCAGACATCCTGGAATGTGAAGTTAAATGGGCCTTAGAAAGCATCACTAACAACAAAGCTAGTGGAGGTGATGGTATCCCAGCTGAGCTATTCAAAGTCTTAAAAGATGATGCTGTTAAAGTGCTGCACTCATTTTGCCAGCAAATTTGGAAAACACAACAGTGGCCACAGGATTGGAAAAGGTCAGTATACATTCCAAACCCAAAAAAGGGCAATGCCAAGGAATGTTCAAACTATCGCACAATTGCACTCATATCACACGCTAGCAAGGTCATGCTCAAGATCCTACAAGCTAGGCTTCAGCAGTACATGGATAGAGAACTGCCAGAAGTACAAGCTGGGTTTCGAAGAGGTAGAGGAACTAGAGATCAAATTCCCAACATTTGCTGGATTATGGAGAAAGCAAGAGAGTAGAGAGCAAGAAGCGACAGTTAGAACCGGATATGGAACAACTGATTGGTTTAGCATAGGAAAAGGAGTACGACAAGGATGTATATTGTCACCTTGCTTATTTAATTTATATGCAGAGTACATCATGTGAAATGCTGGCCTGGTTGAATCACAAGACGGAATTAAGATTGCTGGGGAAAAGATCAACAACCTCAGATATGCAGACAATACCACTCTAATGGCAGAAAGTGAAGAGGACCTAAAGAGCCTCTTACTCAGCATAAAAGAGGAGAGCACAAAAG